GGCCATGTATGAGCCATATGTGGGTATGGACAAACCATGGCTGGACTGAAACATCCAACAGCAAGGAACAGTTTGGGTTGAAGGCCAGTCAGGAAAAGCCACTGTTCCTGTTAAGACAGGAGGTGGGCTGAGTAGGGCTGGCTCATGGACCCACTGGTAAGCGTGAAACCTGGCATTGGGAGAGGTTCTGATGGAGGAGCATGGGCAACTCCTCTGGCAGGACACAGACCCGGCATGTAAGCGCAAGAAACATGATAGAAAACAGCCCAGAACGGGCCATGGAAAGTTATCCATTGGCATACAATTGGCAGGGGTTGGGGGAAGACAAGGCTGAATCTGTCCACATCATCCACTGGCAAATCCAAGCACCAGAACAGTGTGCGTTGAGCCACTTTCAGTCACAACAAAGACTAGTGCACAATATAAAATGCCAAGGTGAGATAGCCTGTACCGGAAGGGACCGCAGTGCCCAACCAGCAAGCGTGAGAACCAGGAAGGAAGGGGGCAGAATTGGCAGGGAAATAAGGGAGGGTTCCTTTGCTGGACAGCTACTCCCGGTGGAGAGTGAGGGCTGGAATGGGGGAAGACCAGACTAAGCAGAGCTACCACACCTGTGCACCTCATGTGGACAAGATCAGGGAAAAGCCAGGCTGGGCTGATTATTCCTACCAGTGCAAACAAAATTAGAGTGCGTGAGGGTTGTTTGGGCTTAGCCACAGCATCAGCTGGAAGAAGCTGGCACTGGGGGCTAGTTCTGTCACAAGTCAAACCACAGAACTATCTGGAGAATGCACAGCCCGGGAGTGGGGGAGTGGGAGAGGCCTGGGAGGTAAATAGTTGGCTCCTCCCTCTTGGGTTACCACTTCCACCAGAGGGCATGAAAACTAGGACAGGGGCTGGGGTGGAATGGGGTGTGGGACAGACTGGATTACTGCTACACATACTGGCAAACTAGAGTAGGGGGGCGGGCCTGGTGGGAGTTATTGCGGGTCGCTCCAACTAGGCTGCAGCTCCCACTGGATTATGCAAGGGCCGAGTATATGCTGGGAAGAACTAGGCTGGACTGCAACACCCATCTGTTCCAGTGGAAGTCAGGGCTGAAAACAGAACCAACCCAGCAATTGCAACCACCAGCTGATCGGGTGATGGGACTGTGCTGGGGCCTGTGCTTGCCAGCACATACAAGAATCTGGTTTGAGCACACCTCAGACAAAGTTTCGTTGGAGATCTCCCTAATCGAAATGCTGGACTCAGAACTCTAACCAAGAAAAGAGAGAAGACAGAACAAGTCAACCAACCATCTCAGCTATGATGGACTATGTCAATCAGTGGATTCTTCAAGGACCTCATAGTGCTTGGAGTGGCAAGATTGGCAGCGATTCATAACTGTTGAAATATTGAAACCACTTGAGCAAGAACCTCAGAGCATACCCTACATCCGGGACCTGGGGAGGCTGGGAAGTTGGGTGGGCCTTCTCCCTTAATATCCCCCTTTAAACATGAAGAAAATAATATGGAAATAATAGTCTTACCCACTTTCCTGCAGCCCTTGAACCTTTTTACCCTAATTAACTATGTAAAGATTATCAAAATATTTTTAAAAATAAATTAAAAAAAATAATTTTTTAAAAAGTACAAAAATTAAGGTCAGCACTGTAACGCAGATTAAACCACTACCTGTGACATAGGCATCCCATATAAGCAACAGTTTCAGTCTCAGGTGCTCCATGTTCTATCCAGCTCCAAACGGATTCACTTGAGAAAGCAGTGGAAAACGATTCAAGTGCTTGGGTCCCTGTCACCAAGACTGGAGAACTAAATGGAGCCCCAGCCTTGCCACTGATGCTATTTGGGAAGTAAACCAGTAAATGAAATTTCTCCCTCTCTGTTAATTTTGCCTTTCAAACAAATATGTGGTGAAAAGACAAGCATTAGCATGTGAGGCAAAGAAAGATCCTTAATTTGTATCTACTTTATTTTAAAAGTAGAGAAACAGACAGGTTTCTCCTGTCAATTCACTCCCAAATACCCACAACAGTCAGGCCTGGGCTAGTGCAAAGTCAAGAGCTGGAAACTAAACAAGTATCCCACAGTACTGGAGCCAACACCTATTGCCTCTCAGTGAGAAACCAAAATCAACAGCAGAATTGAATCTAGGCCTTCCAAAATGGAATACAGGTATCCAAAGCACCATCTTTAAATAAAATGAAAAGCAGAATTACAAGGGGGTGGGGGAGAGAGAAGTCTTCCATGTGCTATTTCACTCCCCAAGTACCTGCAATGGCAAGGGGTTTCATTCAGACTTCCACATCGCTGTAGTGGTCCAAGTACTTGGGCCATCCTCTGATGCTTTCCCAGGAGCAATAGCAGGGAGCTGGACGCAAAGTGGAACATCTGGGACCCCAATCAGTGCTCCTATTGGATACCAGCACTGCAGGCCACAGCATAGCCCATTGTATCACAACACTGCCAAATATCCCCAAGTAGTATCTTAACTGTTGCATCAAATATCCACTCACCTAAAAAAATCTTTTAAACTGACAAAAAAAAATCACATTCGTAAGATGCAATAATTCTAAACACTAGTGCAAAGCCAGCATTGTGACGAACAGGGTTAAGCTGTGATGTGGGCAGCCCATATTATTTGGGGTGGTTTGGGTCCTGTTTGCTCTGACTCAAAACCAGCTTCCTGCCAATGTACCTAGAAAGACAGCTGAAGACAGCCAAACTGCTTAAGTTCCCAAGACCTATGCAAGAGGTAAGGTTAGAATTCCTGGCCCATGGCTTCAGTCAGGCCTAGACTTGGCTGTTATGGCTGTTTGGAAAACAAATGTGTCCATCTCTGCTTCTCTGCCTTTAAAAAAAAAAGAGTCGGGCCCAGCATGGTGGCTTTGAACACGTTGGGATCCTATACGGACACCGGTTCTAATCCCGGCAGCTCCACTTCCCATCCAGCTTGTGGCCTGGGAAAGCAGTCAAAGATGGCCCAAAGTCTTGAAAGCCTTGGGACCTTGCACCCACATGGGAGACCTGGAGGGGGTTCCTGGCTCCTGGCTTCAGATCAGCGCAGCTCCAGCCGTTACGGTCACTTGGGGGTGTGAATCAACAGACAGAAGATCTTCCTCTCTGTCTCTCCTCCTCTCTGTGTACCTGACTTTGCAATAAAAATAAATAAATCTTTTAAAAAAAAAAGAGTCAATGTTAGAAAAAGTGAATAAAAGACACCAAATAACAAATTCCTAAATTTTAGGAAGCAAAATCCAACAGAGAAAATACAGACAATTCAAAACTAACACTTGGAGATTTCAATAGCTTATTTCTAATAATAGAACTACCCACACAACAAGTAAACAAAGGAATCAAACAATGCTTTACAACTAGCTAGATCTGAAAAGGCACCAACAGAATAATACACACATCACAGAAAATATCCCTTCTCAAATGCAAACAAAAAAAAATAGGTCATGGTAGGACATGAAATATCTTCCAGTACTAAAATCATACCAAGAATGCTCTCCAACTGCAGCAGAATTATACCAAACATAAGTACCAGAAGGAAATCAGGGGAATAGACAATTACATGGAAATTTAATAATACACTCCAAAATAATCAACAGGTTATGAGGGATGAAAAAACATGGAAAATATTTTCAAATGAGAATGAATGTGAAAAGACAAAACAACAAATTTAAAAAATGAAACTTGATAGCCTAGCTGCTAAAGCCCTCGCCTTGCATATGCACATATCCCATATGGGCACCAGTGTGTGTCCTGGCTGCTCCACAACCTATCCAGCTCCCTGCTAATGGCCTGGGAAAGCAGTAAAGGACAGCCCAAAGCCTTGGGACCCTGTACTCATGGGGGAGACCCAGAACAGCTCCTGGATTTGAATCAGCTCAACAGCAGCCATTGCATTTTCTTGGGGAGTGGACCAGTAGTGGATGGAAGATCTTTGTCTCGCATTCTCTCTGTAAATTTGACTTTTCAATAAAAATTAATAAATCTTGAGCCTGGCGGCTTGGCCTAGCAGCTAAAGTCCTCACCTTGAGCGCCCCGGGATCCCATATGGGTGCCGGTTCTAATCCCAGCAGCTCCACTTCCCATCAAGCTCCCTTCTTATGGCCTGGGAAAGCAGTCAAGGACAACCCAAAGCCTTGGGACCCTGCACCTGTGTGGGATACCCAGAAGAAGTTCCTGGCTCCTGGCTTCAGATCGGCATAGCATGGGCCGTTGCGCTCACTTGGGGAGTGAATCAGACGGAAGATCTTCCTCTCTGTCTCTCCTCCTCTCTGTATATCTGACTTTCCAATAAATAAATAAATCTTTAAAAAAATTAATAAATCTTTTAAAAAGAAATGTTGTTAAAGCAGCACTGAGAAGAAATTTACAGTTGGAAATGCATATGCTAAAAACAAAAGATACCATATCAAAACTAGAGAAAAGTAGACTGAATCCAAAGTAACCAGAAAGGATAGAAATTTAAATAAGGCAGGTAACATGCTGCAAGAAGTTAAGCCTCTGCCTGCAATACCAGCATCTCATAGATGGACAGGTTCAAGTCCAGGCTACTCCATTTCCGATCATGGAAGACCAGGAAGCAGTTTCTGGTTCCCAGTTTTGGACTGGCCCAGCTCCAACTGTTGTAGACTTAAGATTGATCCCATTCCCAACTTCATCCTGGGCCAATACCAAACGCTGCACATTTGGAAAATGAAGCAGATGCGAATTCTTTTTCTCTGACCCTCAAGTCAATTAATAACTAAATAATTACCAAAAAAGATTAAGACAATAAATGGTGTTTCCCAAGGTATAAGGGAAAGGGAAAATGAGGAGTTACACCACTTAGTTTAATAGCTATAATTTCCATTCAGAAAATGAAAAGAATCCTGCAGATGGATACTGATACAGTTGTACATTAGGAATGCATTAAATATTACTGAACAGTATACTTGAAAATGATTAAGAAAATAAAAAACAAATTTTTTGAAGTAACAACTTACACAACAGGCTGTGCTACTTGCTGAGTGACAGGTGCACTAATATAAGCTGCAGGCTGTACTCCCATCATTCCTGAGCCATCTTAAAAGAAAACAAACATCTATTTCAGAGTAGCCACTTGATAACACTTTATCCCTAAAGAAAAAGATACATTACAAATATGCCATCTAAAACAAATTATTAATATTTCCCTGAGGTGAGAGTTAACACAAAATAATCCAAAAAAAATCCCACAATACTTATTTTTAAAATCCAAATGTGAAAGAAATAATTATGAATTATGAGCTTTTTCAATGAGTATTGGAAGCAACTATGTGGTGCATCAGCTTAAGTCCCAACTTGTGATTTGAAGGAAAATGGGATTAATATCACTAAACAATATATAACAACTGAATTAACCAAAGCTGTGCTTTCCTCATCTGTGTATTCTTACTTGCACAAAAAACCATTTTTCATCTTGAACCAGTTAAAAAAAGTTTTTGCCCCTATAGGTAACTCACAGTAAGCAAGACTGGGATCCAAAGTATTTCTGGCACCATAAAAATAGTAGGCATCATCATAAGGAGTTCTATAGCTAGTAGCCAAAGGGGGTATTAGAGGAGGTGGAGGCACAGGTGCAATCCTGTATCAAAAGAAAAACAAAAAAAAGACTTTTCAAATTTTGATGTAATTTTTAAATGAAGGTATTATTCTAAAAATATTACTTAAAATGCAGCCACTACACTAGAAAAAGCCCACCTTGTTCCACTCACTCATCAAAAATTATGACACAAAGAGCAAGTGCTAGAGTAAAAATTCACAATTTCATGTTTCATGTTTATGTAAGATAAAAACTAAGATTAACATTCAATCAATTAATATCAACTGCCTATGTCAATATCAAACAAGGACAGATCTGGTCTCTGTCCTTCAGGAGTAACATAGAAAGATAACCATTACAGCCAAATCAACAGCTACAGGCAAGCACATTTCAATCCCATCAGGGAGATGAGCAGCGCAGAGGAAGGTCTTTGAGAAGTAATGTTTGAGTCACCTTAGTAGAGCAAGCTAGAACAGGCAGAGGAAGTATAATCTAAGAAAAGGCACAGAGCTGGAAACCCCAAAAATAAACACAATACCATCTGGAGGAAACAGTGTGTTGTTGAACTACAAAATGCACTGCTATTTCAGAGGAAGTCAACCATTATGTGATTAAAACGATTTCAGTCTCAACAGTAAAACACTGCTGACAGAATCTTCAGTATTTCATGAATTTAAAACTTTTGAAAGCCTCTAATTCAGTGTTTCGTTACTGGTGAGTAGATACTTCTGTATTGCCACCAATGTATTATTTCCCAATGGTAAAAATGACAGATATTTCCTCAGAATACAAAATTTAGATGAACAAAAAGATGAAGAATTCTAGATTATAACTTTTGAACGTATCTTAACACACTCACCCCTGGCATCCACTACAACTGTGAAGAGCTAGAGACTAAAGTGCTCTTCAGTAGTGAATATTCTTGCACATTCACTATCACTTAAGGTGTGCAACCTCGCCAGCCTCACTTCAAACATACAACAAAGAAGTGAGTGATTGTACTAAGAGATATCATTAAATCTTAAATTTTATAGATTTATGATTTACTCCTAACTGTAAATATGGTAAAACATGTATTTTTCTTTCTTTCTTTCTTTTTAACAAATTAGGAAACTGAAGTTCAAGAAAGGTATGATTTTTTTCCCAAAATCCAGATGCTCAATCCAGTCGTTTCAGTTCCCGTGTAATCCAATGTCTTTATCACCATACAGAGTTCCATAATTCCACTCCTTCCAAGTCAAATTTGGAAGCTGTAAGACTAAACTAAGCTCCAGATAAACATCACTAGATACAGCTTCATGATTCGTTAGTAGTAAATAAAAGACCTACGTAGCCTAGAAGCAATCAATGAGCAAAACATCTGTACATGTAAATAAATTCCTATATTTAGTGCATTAGCAGTGAGACAAAAGTCAGCTCATATCCTACAAAGAAAAGTATAGCACAGGTGTAATGATGCTTATTTCCTATAGAAATTAAATGATTACAGTCATGCCTCTGTTACAGGTTGTATTGTCTTTCACACTTAATATTACAGGCAGCTGAGTTGCATACTCCCCAAGTAATCACAGAGAACAGAGATAAAGGAAAAAGAAGCTAAAACAAAACTACACTTACATAAGAGTCATATTAGAAACTTTTTTCTCCATAGGCTGAAAGAAGAATTCAATGTTTGCCAAGTGGAAATAACAAAGTTGAGACAGCTTTTGCATGTTAACAGATAGTACAAAGAAATGGCGTAAAACTAAGCATTAAAACGTACTCCATCAATTTAAAAATACTAAATCAGCTCTAAAACAAGAAGACTGTTACAAGGATTTCCTGCGTTTTTATAACAGCACAGACCAATAACAAAATCAAGTTTCAAGGCATTTATAAAGCTACTAATTGTTCAGAATACTTGAAACATATCTGCTTCAGCACATCCTTCTGAATATAAAACATAAAAATACCTTACCTAAGTCCCAAACACAAAACATTTTAAACAAGCACCTGGGAGGCACCATTTCACCAAGGGTGCTGCTGAGTCCACTGTACAAATCTTCATTTTGAGATGGAACAGCCTGAAGTGATGGGATGGGTGGGACAGACTGGGCAGATAAAGGAGGGAGAGGTGTCTGGAAAGCTACTCTAGGTCTTTCAGGAGGAATCATCTCTTCAAAGTGCCTTGGCGCCACACTAAACTGCTGTAGTCTATCAGGCTAAAACAAAGAAAATAAGTCTATTTGTTACATATAATCATAAATTTCAAGATAAAAGGGACCTCAAAAGACCATTTATTCTGGCAGGCACTTCAGAGAGGCACAGAGTAACAGAATTTCATACATCTAAGAATTTTTGAAAATCTAATTATTTTATAAATGGATAACTGAGATTCTCTAAGTATTCAAACCGCCTGAGGCCTCACTAATCAAAGATTATCATACAAAGAGGCAGGTATTTTAAATACAATATCCTATATTATACTACAATACTATACTAATTCTCTATTGAATAGCCACTTGTAATATTAAAATAGATAGAACGGGATCAGCAAATGCTGCCAGTAAATGTAATATCGTTTGCAGATCTCTCCACCACTACCTGACTCAGCCATAGCACTAAATAACAACAAGCATATGTATACCAATGCGCAGGGCTCTACTATAGAAAAATGTATTTACAAAAATAGGCAATAGGCCATAGTTTGTTAATCCCTATCCCAGAACATCACTTATATGCTTTCCTAAGATCTGCAAATCAACAGTAAAATTCACAGTAGCTGTCTGAAGCACAATCTCTTAATATTTACTTATTTACTCCCATGAATCAAACGGACATTCTTCAGAGGTTTCAATTCAAAGAAACATAAGTCTGTCACATTTTAAAATCGGACATAAAAATACATTACAAAACTCAAGATTTTAAAAGGAAGTTTTCATTACAAAAGCTATATGAAACACGTAACAAAAAAAATACATATAGCTTTAGAATTTAATTCTGTTCTGCCACAACTATCCTATCAAGATAGATTTCTGGGACTAATGAAAAATTTTTATTCCAGAAGCAATCAGAAACACAAAGGGAGTAATAATTGCACAGTAGCAAATGTTCTTAAATAAAATATTTGTGGAATATATAAACTGAGTGTAAATACATCAAAAGTTGCCTATCACTGAATAATTTTACGTTGTTTTGTTCTTTTTAAAGAAAGAACTTTGAATGAAATTAACCAGCTCAATCATCATTTAAGAATGAAACAAAAGTTGTCTCGGTAAATACTACAAATCCCACTACAGAATATACTGCACTAGAAGCAACAAACAGTAAACCTCCTCCTTACCTAACTGCATGATGTGATCCATTCCACTTAATGATGAGAATTGCAAAATTAAAAATAAGGTCATCTACTTTTAAAATAAAATGCTAAGATGCTTAAAGACTAGAATTAATGTTATCAATTTCTTCTAAAATCATTCTAACACAAATAGAACACACTCAAAGACATTAGCATCACTTATAAATTTAACTGAGATCATCTTCCCCTGGGAAAAATAGGACAAATTTAAACAACAAAAACAGGACAAAAAAATGGGACAAACTTAAGCAAAAATATGATAAATGACTGAAAAATAAAAAAGCATCTTGGGGATGTAATAGGAAAAAGACTTAAACTGTACAAGAATCTAACTGATGCTATCACAGCTCCCATCAGTAACATCTATTCTGACGCTGTCGCCAGCAGCCACCACAGGTGAGGCTTATCCGAATGCAAGGTTGAACACTGACAGACACCAACCACCCTTACCGACTTCTCAGGATCCTGTGCTCCAGAAGCAGCCACTCTGAGCTCTAAATCTTTTTCTCTGTAAACAAAGAAAGGAAGTAAAAAAAATTTAAATTTATGTATTAAAAAGTAACAATAAGAGCTATCAAAATTATCATCATCATCATCAATAAGAAAAAATCACAAACTATGTAAGGCATCTCCAAATATGATTAATTCCTCTAACTGATAAGGAAGATGTGAACAATATCAAAAAAAAAAAACAAATTTTCTAGCTTGATGCAAATTAAATTCATATTCATACCTAACCAATGCAGACTAAGAATCTCTAAACCAAAACCTGGAGGACTGAAGTAATGAAGTCCACAGAGACTAAATGAGGAAAATAAACTCTATTTTGTGAACCAAAGTCTCTTTTAGGGTACCTGCATATTTTCAGTTTAAAAAGGGTAGTGATTTAGATATAACTACATATTTCTAATAAGAGCATTGAATAAAACGAGGCTAACAATGAACAGTGTCGCAATTAACAGCTACAAAACAAAAAGGAAAAGGCAAAACGAAACAATGACAGTGTCAAAATTCTGCCAAAGCTGACACCTATTCCCAATTTTAGACTGTAACATGAGAAGTACTTTTCCAAGGAAGATTATAAATACTGAGACTTGTCTACATCATAAACGCCTATGATTTACAATGGTTACTTTAATTTTTTCATGTACGTGTGCTATTCTGATTTCAGCTTTAAAACAATACAAAAGTTTATGTGATACCATATACAGGATAATCCAACTGGCATGTTGATAAAATTAAACTCTATTCAAGTGAGGAAGTCAGCATAGCAAAAGGTCACTTATAGAATGTATGAAGGTAACTGAGAAAGGTGGTGGAAAATGGAATAAAAACACAAATTTATTTTGCAAATAAACCCAAGCACAAAAAGGGTCGTCAAAATGCTCATGAAATAAACTACGAAAAACCAACTACAGATTTCTCAATTTTTACAGCCAAATGAAATATTTTCTAATTTTTAAAAAATATTTATGTGGGGCCCGGCGCAGTGGCGCAGTGGTTAAGGTCCTTGCCTTGCATGCCCAGGATCCCATATGGGCGCCAGTTCTATCCCGGCAGCCCCGCTTCCCTTCCAGCTCCCTGCCTGTGGCCTGGGAAAGCAGTCGAGGACAGCCCAGGGCTTTGGGATCCTGCATCCGTGTGGGAGACCCAGAAGAGGCTCCTGGCTTCAGATCAGCATTATCGGCCACTGCGCTCACTTGGGGAGTGAATCATCGGACAGAAGATCTTCCTCTCTGTCTCTCCTCTCTGTATATCCGCCTTTCCAATAAAAAAATAATAAAAAAAAATATATTTATGTGAAAGGCAAGGTTACCAAGAGGAGAAAGAGACAGAGGGATCTTCTATTCACTCATTCCTCCAGATGGCGATAATGGCCAGAGTTGGGTGAGAGCAGGTACAGAAGTATGGAAGTCATACTGGGTCATCCACCTGAGTGGCAAGAGCCCAGGTACTTGAGCCACCTCCCACTGCTTTGCAGGGTGCGTTAGCAGTGAGCTGATTCAGAAGTAGAGAAGCAGAGACTGGAACACTGTTCATATGCGATGCTGGTGTGCAGACAGCAAGTTAACCCACAGCACCACATTGTCAGACCCGAAACTTTCATTCCATCTTTCCATAAATTTCATATAGTTTCACCCACCACCTACTACAAGCAAACACTTACATGCTATTTATTCTGTTTCATAATGTCGAAATCAAAATATAAATAATTCATAAATCAAAATCATGGGTGGAAAAAATAATCACTTATGACATTTTACACAGGTGTACATTAAATTCCAATTCTGGAAAACTGCAAAACTTTCATTACCGTTTCTTATTCTTCTGTTGCTCAGCCATTTGCTCCAACAGCTCCAGTCTGTATTTCTCTTTTCTTTTCTGAATAACTTCTCGATCTTCACCTCCTATATAGTGATCAAGTAAAAAAAAAAAAAGACTCTGAAGTTTTGAGTATCATATGAAGGTAGGAACTCAAGAAAAGTTTAAGATTCATTTTTATTGGAAAGTCAGATATACAGAGAGGAGGAAAGACAGAGAAAAAGATCTTCCATTCGATTATTCACGCCTCAAGTCGTTTCAACGGCCGCAACTGAGCCGGTCTGAAGACAGGAACCTGGAGCTTCCTCTAGATTCCCCATGTGGGTGCAGGGTCCCAAGCCTTTGGGCAATCCTCGACTGCTTTCCCATGCCACAAGCAGGGAGCTGGATGGGAATTGGGGCTATGGGATACGGGTGAAGCCAAAGCCAGACTAGGCTGGAATTCAATGCAGGTCTGCCACTTGGATGCCAGGGGCCCAAGGACTTGAGCTATCTTATGTTGATTTCCCATGCACATTAGCCAGAGAGCCGGATGGAACAGCCAAGACTTGAACCAACAGTCAGATGGGATGCCAACATTGCAAGCTATGGCTTAACTTGTTGTTGTCACAAAATTCACCCCAGGATTCCATTTTGAACTTTATCAAAAAGTAATTACTGAGGACGCGAAGAAATACAGATTTTAAAAAATCACATATAGGCCTGGCACAGTAGCCTAGTGGCCAAAGTCCTCTGCTTGCTTATCCCAGGATTCCATATGGGCACCAGTTCATATTCCAGCAGCTCCACTTCCCTTCCAGCTCCCTGCTTGTGGCCTGGGAAAGCAGTAGAACAGCGAAAGCCTTGGGACCCTGCACCCATTATTTTTTAATGTGACTGAGACAGTATTTTCTCCACAATCTAAATAACTGATCTCCCAACCATCAGTGGCTATACAGCTTATCAGATGGGCACAAAGGCAACACAAATTCTCTAAAACAGTGTTTTTTAGAATCAATGTAGCTATCTTGATACCACTTCTAACCATATAATACCAAGGCATAATGTTTCAAAATGAGCAAAACACACAAAATAACTGTTTTCTAGATACTGTAATTTACAAGGTATAGGGAAGGAAAACTCAAACACAGTCAAGAATCTAACCTAAATTGAATAAATAGAAAAACAATTGTTTTCTCGGGTCAGTGCAGAGGTATAGCAATAAAGCCACCACGTGAAACACCAGCATTCCTCATGGGCACCCAGTCTGAGACCTGGCTGCTATACTTCTGATCCATCTCCCAGCTAATGTGCCGGAAAAAGAAGGTCGTGCTTCCCGGCCTCCATCTAGTCCATTTCTAGTCAATGTAGTCATTTTGGAGAATAAACCAGTATATGGAAAATTTCTCTCTCTCTCATTGCAAGTCTACCTTTCAAGTAAATAAATCTTTTTTTAAGATTTATTTATTTTTATTGCAAAATCAGATATATACAGAGAGGAGGAGAGACAGAAAGAAATATCTAGCATCCGACCATTTACTCGCCAAGTGACCACAACGGCTGGTGCAGCACCAATCCGAAGCCAGGAGTCCAGACCTGGCTTCGCACACAGGTGCAGGGTCCCAAAGCTTTGGGCCGTCCTCGACTGCTTCCCCAGGCCACAAGCCGGGAGCTGGATGGGAAGTGGAGTTGCCGGGATTAGAACCGGCACCCATATGGGATCCTGGCACGTTCAAAGCAAGGACTTCAGCCACTAGGCCACGGCATTGGGCCCAAAAATAAATAAATCTTTAAAAATGTTTTCTTGAGCAGATAGAAGTAAAAATTCTGTAAGGTTTAAATATCTGCAAGTTAGAAAAGCATAAAAAGTTCTAGAAACCCAGAGAACCCACTATACTTCACTGTGCACAAGTCAATGCATTCAGAGAAAAGTCCATTCAAACTAAGCAGGAAGGTAACAATTGAAAATATAACTAAAGGCATCATATAAATTAACTGAATTAATCAAAATGGAGATTATCTTGGATAGGTCTATAGAATCAGATGAAAACTCTTGGAAAAAGAGCTTGTCCTCTGTGATTCTGGATTCTCCTGGCTGGAACTATAAAACAAGCAGATGAGAAAGTCTACACAGCAAGAGATGGCAGACAGCCTCTAGGACCTGTGAGTAGCTTCCAGTCCACACCCAGTAAGTCAGCGCCCTCAATCAAAGAGTCAAAACTTCATCAACTAAGACGGGCAAGGCTGAGCCATTAGTACATGCCAACATGCACAAAAACCCGGGCCTGGGGGGTAGGCACAGTAAAGGTTATTCGAGGTTGCCCTGTCTAGACGATGGTACCTTCTGGTGGACATGGGGACTGAGCCTGTGGCGAGCTGGGCTGATCTAAGCAGCAATATCATCTGTCAGTTTGCATGAGCTATGGGCAGGGAGTAGAAATGACCAGGCACCTATATCAACTGTTACACATTTTGGCTGGTACAAGTGACAAACCAAACTTGACCTTGTACTGGCTAGTGCACACAAGAGTCATGTCTGAGGTCACCCCAAGCAAGATTTCTTGGGGGTACCCCAAGGGGACACCCCAATTATAGCATTGGACTTAAAAGCTGGCCACAGGGGAAACCCATGATATGTGGTCCAACCTTGAAGTGCGTGTACTGGGACAGGCGTCCTCAGTTGCTGATGCCTGTGCAGTGGACAGCATGCCCAGATGCTCACAGGACACATGACAGCCAGCACATCTAGACCAGTAAGTGACGTCAACTGCCTTGTCAGAAGATGGAAAGCAGAACAGGTTGGACAATTCTGTCTGGATGTGTGGATGCACTAAGATGGACTCTGTTAACCAACAGACCTTGGAAAGATTTTCTCAACCCTGGAATAAGGAAACCAACAACTTCCCTCAGCTATCAACACTACTCAAGTGACACCGCCACAACATTCTTCATCACATTAGGGTCTCTGAGGAGTTACCACTTGGCCATCCCCTATACCTGGGTGCCGATGCATTTAGACAGCAAGAAGCAGTCCCCTTCTCCTCCCCTGTGGACACAGGAGAAGGAAAAAATGAAAAAAAACAAACATCCGTCCCACCCACTTTCCTGGGTACCTGAACCTTCCCACCCTTATCACAGACCCACATGGACATGCATCCATCTCAACTACGTATATATTATTTTAAAAAGAACACTACTTGGGACAGATACATTTCATACTTGAGTACCTGATTTGAGACCCAGCTACTTCACTTCAGATCTAACTTCACAGTAGTATGCAACCAAGGAGGCAGCAAGTAATGGTTCAAGTACCTGAGTCTCTATATACTTGAGAAACAAATTAAATTCTGGGCTCCTGGCTTCAGCCTAACCCAACTGAGGTTTTCACAGCAATTTGGGAAGCAAACCAATGGAAAGAAAAATCTACCTCTGTCTCTCTGTTGGCTTCAAAATAAAATGAAAATAGATTTTTAAAAGCTCTTTAAAAAGCACCCTGGCCCAGCACCATAGCCTAGTGGCTAAAGTCCTCACACTGCACATGCCGGTATCCCATATGGGTGCTAGTTCTAATCCCAGCTGCTGCACAACCCATCTAGCGTCCTGCTTGTGGCCTGGGAAAGGAGTGGGAGATGGCCCAAAGCCTTGGGACCCTGCACCTGTAAGGGAGACCTGGAAGAAACTCCCGGCTTTGGGATCAGCTCAGCTCCAGCTGGTCCAGCTGCTTGGGGAATGAATCAGTGGACGAAAGATCTCTGTCTCTGTCTCTCCTCCTCTATTTGTGTCTGCCTTTCCAACAAATATAAATCTTAAAAAAAAAAAAAAGGAGTAATCAACCAATAAGGGTTTAGTGTTTTCTACTAGCATTAAAAGTGGAAATAATTGGGCCCGGCACCGTGGCACAGTGGTTAAGGTCCTTGCCTTGCATGCCCAGGATCCCATATGGGCGCCGGTTCTAATCCCGCCAGCCCCGCTTCCCATCAAGCTCCCTGCTTGTGGCCTGGGAAAGCAGTCGAGGACGGCCCAAAGCTTTGGGACCCTGCACCCACATGGGAGACCCAGAAGAGGCTCCTGGCTTCGGATAGGCACAGCACCGGCCATTGCACTCACTTGGGGAGTGAATCATCGGATGGAAGATTTTCCTCTCTGTCTCTCCTCTCTGTATATCCACCTTTCCAATAAAAATAAAATAAATCTTTAAAAAAAAAGTGGTAATAATTAAAACTCAGTTCTCACTGAAGGCTTTTATAAGACATTCTGCAAAAATTCAATAGAGTATTCGAAAAACAAAAATTCTGCCACAATGTATTCAAACTTCTTACATACCAAACAGCATCCCTGCAAAAGGACTGCAGATCTCTCGATTGGATCTGGATGGTGCATTGTCTTGAGCACTAAAAGACAAAGAGTTAACAAATCACATCATTTTCAGGAAGCAAAACTGAAATAGTTACATGCAGATTTGAGTTACAGCACTTCGAAAGTTCTATGGACTCCATAATACCTATATTAATATACATTAAGATTAGCAGCATATTCAAGACTACAAAAACCACAGCTTTAGAGCAGGCGGTCGGGGGTGAGGCTGCTGGTTGGGACACTCCTGTCACAGGGCCTGAGATGAAGTTCCACCTCCACTTTGTCAGCTTCCTGCTAATGCACCTGGCAAGCACCAGATATTAACTCAGTGACTGGGGTCTCTGCAGACTCAAATGGAGTCTCTGACACCAGCTTCAGTCTAACCTAGCCCCAGCTGCTACAGCATTGGAGTGAGTGAGAGAGAGGAAGAGAGGGAGACGGCCTTTCTATCTCATTTGGCTCTTCAAGTTCTCTTGATTTTCAGATAAAACTCCTTTTCAAATATATAAGCCCAGTAAGGAAAACAAATTTTTAAAATGTATTCTCTTATTTAAGCACTGTTTATATAATATTGTCAAAGAAAACGAATACTTTTCTTGACACATAACAATATTATCATTACTTTATACTATAGTTTCAGAAATTTTACCAAATGATAAAAACTATACAAAGGAACGTTCAAAATAAAATATATACAATTCCTATTTGACAGAAATACTTATGAGCACTAATTTTTCAAGTAAGCATAAAAATTATCCAGATAATAATAAATAATAAATAAGCCAAAATTTAAGAAGTTCTGAGACAAAAAAAATCATAACAGGCGAGGCATAATGGCTCAATTGGCTAATCCTCTGCCTCAGACTACTGGGAACCCTAACGAGCGTCAGTTCATATCCCGGCTCTTCCACTTCCCATCCAGCTCCCTGCTTATGGCCAAGGAAAGCACCAGAGGATGGTCCAAAGCCTTGGGACCCTGAGCCTGCTTGGGAGACCCAGAAGAAGCTCCTGGCTGGATCAGCTCAACTCTGACCATTGTGGTCATCTGGGCAGTGAACCAGCAGATGGAACTTTCTGTCTTTTCTCCTTCTCTCTGTAAATCTGACTTTCCAATAAAAACAAAATGTTTAAAAAAAATTCACATGTCTATTTTTTGTTTATTTCCAGTCAAGGTACATCACAGTGACACCAAATATCTTGAAAACTATTTACAGTCCATTAAACCGACTGAATTTCCTTTCCTTGTTTCAAATACATTTACATTCTTTATGATAGGGACTTGCTGAGATCCTTTTAGCACACATTATAATCAAAAATATGTCTTCGGGCCCAGCCCGGTGGCGCAGTGGTTAAGGTCCTCGCCTTGCACGCCCGGGATCCCATATGGGCACCAGTTCTATCCCGGCAGCCCCACTTCCCTTCCAGCTCCCTGCCTGTGGCATGGAAAGCAGTCGAGGACGGCCCAAAGCTTTGGGACCCTGCACCCGCATGGGAGACCCAGAAGAGGCTCCTGGCCTTGGATCGGCATAGTATCGACCATTGTGCTCACTTGGGGAGTGAATCATCGGACGGAAGATCTTCCTCTCTGTCTCTCTTCTCTGTATATCCGCCTTTCCAATAAAAAAAAAATAAAGATAAATCTTAAAAAAAAAAAGTCTTCGAATACCATGAGATACAGTTGTAAATTTTCATTTACCACTACTTATCTCCTTGCATTTTAACATTTATTTATTTCATTGGAAACTCAGATATCACAGAGGAGGAGAGAAAGAGAGATCTTCCATCTGATGATTCACTCCCCAAGTGGTTACAGCAGCTGGTGCTAAATCAGTGTGAAGCCAGCAGCCAGAGCTTCTTACAGGTCTCCCATGCAGGTGCAGAGTTCCAAGGCTTTGAGCCATTCCCTACTGCTGTCCCAGGTCACAAGCAGGGATCTGGATGGGAGCTGGAGCAGAAAGGATTAGAACTGGTGCCCATAAGGGATCCCAGCAGATGCAAGGCAAGGATTTAAGCCACTCGGCCATGACATCAGTCCCTACATTTTTATCTCATTTCTAATAAGGAAAGCTGTTAGTATGGCCTTTCTTCTTTTCAGTAAACCTGTTTTAAGCAGGTGCATAATTCACATAACATACTATACCTTTTATTGCCAGCAGATGAAATGCGTGTGTTTAACTGTTCTGTGACATCACCGTCATACTCCACAGGAGACCCAGTCCCTCGTCTGCTCCCGTGCATCCTTAAAAACACATCAGCTTATAGAGCCTGACCCCCACACAGCAGACCCTCTCACAACAGTGTTGGGATTTTAACATTCCAGATCAGAATATTAAAAAGAGAAAAAAGCATTATAATGAGGTTATATAAATACATTCGAAAATTAAAACGAGCGGTTCCAAATGTATGTGGCTTGCTGGCTACAACAAATAAAAGTTAGATTTCATTTTTTTCCCATTATTTCCAAAACTTCTGAAAACTATTAAATTTCAAAATTTCAAAGTTGAAGCATTTTAAAATGAAAGCAAGTTAATGTAACACATTTTATCATTCACTTAATAAGTGAATAACTGAGCTCTTACTATATGTCCAGGAATATTTTAAGCACTGATTATTCAAGCATCATCTTATGTACTCACAAGTATTATAGCTGAAATTAAAAATTCAAGGATGAGCTTATGCAATTAACCCACGTTACAGATCAACATTTTTTAACCATCAAATGAAATATAGTAAGTCATAACATTTGCTATATCACAAAAAATTATCAACAGATGAACGGAAACCTTTTAAACACCCTGTTAACATGAATATAAATTAATTCACTTTTCTCACAAAGTTATAAACAACAACAATGAAGATTAAAACAGCTCTTGAAAAAAAAAACCTTTTTTTTTTTTTAGAAAACAATGACCAAAACGTTTCACTACATTGACCTTTCTTTTCCATTTGGCAAACATTGATTTTTTTTTTAATCTTAATTTCTCACGCAGAGAAAACCTACGTGACTTTCACATCAGCATTTATTAGCAGCCATGAATATCACCATTTCAAAAGTCAAATTCCTTTACATGGTTAACAGACTACATTGTTTTTCTTAAAAGAAAGCTACCAGGAAAAAAAAAAAAAAAACAACTGCTGTTACAGCACTTTAGGTGAATATTTTAGGTGAATCTCCTTGTCAGATTAACAAATTGGTGATTTTCGGCTTTACAAGCAAAGGAATTTTTCACTCCTCATAAACAGGAACATAAAATTCTTTCTTGTTTCCATCATTTAAGGCACTGACAATATAAACTATGAAAAAATTCTACTTGATTTTAATCCTCATAACAAGGACTTGCCATGGCAAATAACATTTATACTTTTAAGCCCTTTTAAATAGAACTTTCAAATTTATTTCATCATAAAACAGAGAGTTTTAACTTATCTGAAACCTACGTGTTCAGATTTCCCTTTAAGTGACATACTGGGTGCCAGCACTGTGGCAAACCGGTAAAGCTGCCACCTGTAATACTGGCATCCCATTCAGACATCAGCTCATGCCCTACCTGCCTTACATCTCATCCAGGCGACAACATGGGAAAAGCAATGGAAAATAATTCAAGTGTTTGGGTCCTGCTATGAATATGGAAGACTTGGATAAAGTTGTTGGCTCCCAACTTCAGCCCTAGCCATCTTGGCATATGGGAAGTGAACCTGCAGACAGATCTGTCTCTCCCTCCCTATTAACTCTTACAAACGAAAATTCAAAAAAAAAAAAAAAAGTGGGGTTAGAACTGTGGAATAGCAAGTTAAGTCGGCCTGTGATGTGGGCATCCTATATGGTCACCAATTCAAGTCCTAGCATCTCCACTTGAACTTCACCAGTTCAAGCTCTGGCTTATGGCCTGCGAAAGAAGCAGAGGATAACCCAAGTCCTTGCAGCCCTCCACTCACATGGAAGACCAGAAGCCTCCTAGCTCCTGGTTTGTGGTTTCAAACCAGTCTCAGCCCTGGCTGTTGCAGTCATTTGGGGAGCAAATCTGAAGACGAAAGCTCTCTCTCTCCTTCTTTCGCTGCAACTCTGCCTTCCAAATACAATTTTTTTTAAATGACATAAGTTCAGTGTCATTTTCTATTTCTACTACTTAAAAAAAGTTAAATATAAACTCAAATGCAAATCCGCAACTAACCATGATGGTATTCTGACACAGCAGGTTGAGCCACTTCCTGTGACGCGAACATCTCATGAGGGCTGGTTAGAACACCAGCTAGTGGCACAGCAAGCTACTCTTCTTCCTGCAGTGCCAACATCCCATATGAGTGCTGGTTTATGTCCTGCCGGCTCCACTTTTGATTCTACTACCTGTTTATCACCTGGGAAGGCAGCAGATGACGGCCCAAGTCCTTGCATCTCTGCAGTCACCAGGGAGACCCACAAGAGAAGCTCCTGGCTTCAGATAGACTCGGCTCCAGCCACTGCATCCACTTGGAAAGTGAACAAGAAATGGAGGACCGCTCTCTATAAAAATCTGTCTTTCAAGTAAAAAACAGGTTTAAAAAAAAAAAAAAGATTGTGCTGGTTTGCTTAGGACCTTGCCCATAAACATTTTCCTTTGCTGATTTTGCACTGGAATCTTTTGTAAGAAGTCACAGCTATGAATACAAATACATACAGTGCTCTGAGCCCTCCCAGTGAATCATCAACTTGGGAATAATCCTGCGAACCCATCCACAACACAACATGCAAAACCTAAATCTGCTGATGTAGTAAACAGGTATTTCTACAAATGAAAATTTTAACAAGACAGACATTCCAGGTTACAACTTTATAAAAGCATAACTCAGGATACTAGAAGTAAATTTAACACTGACAAAAATTTGTTTTAAAATTTACCCAAGATCTTGTAGCTTCCTGCATTTTCAGTTAGTTGTCAGAGGACAATACCCAAATTCTTTTTCATCTTTCTTTAGTTGTACCTCAAGTACCCACATTAAAATGTTTTTAGCCTCTGTAGATAATAAAGCAAACACAATAGGCCCAAAATTCACTCTAAATTTTTCAAAGTTCGCTCGGGAGTTTAAAAATTTAGGTTATTTTTGTATAACATGAAGGTCTAAAATCTACAGTTAAACTGTAGGTTTCCTATGAAAAGCCAACATAAAATAGACTCTAAGGCATATCTTCCACTGAGGGAAAAAAAAAGGTTACAAAGGTCTCCTATAACTGATAATTACAACAGAATCATGACTAACAAGATGTTCAAAAAGTTACTGAAAACCAGAGATACGCATTGCACTAAATCATTTTTCTTAAAACAGGAAGGCATCATCTTCAGTCTTATGAAATGACTCACATGATTATGCTTACACTATGAAATGAAGAGAATGACTGTTTACAAGTACAGATTCCACAGGTATTTTTTCAAAAGTTTTTTCTTTTTGCATTAGTAAATTCAAGACCTACGGGCCTAGCACAACGGCTCAACTGGCTAATTCTGCAGAGGGCCTCTAGTACCATGGCAGAGGATGGAGTGTAGGACAAACTGGAGAACTCTCCTGGTCAAGCTTTGACAAGCGAGTACCTCGGTAAATGGAGACTCTAAGGTGGAATACACCAGCCAATGGGCCTTGGAAGATTTCCTCAACTTTAGAGCAACAAAATCTCAGAACTATGAAAACCACTTAAGCACTACCTTTGGAACATGCTGGACTTTCTGGATCCTAGCAGTACCTCACCCCCAGGCACTGATGCCATTAGGCTGCTGGGACCACTCCTCTCCCTGTGTCCCTCCCCTCCCCCAGCTAAGGGAAGGAAAAAAGAAAAGTGGGAGCAACTGTCTCATCCACTTACCCCTATTCCTCAACCTTTCCCACCCTAATCAGTGGTAAAAACGGGCATGCCATTACTCTCCCCTATGTCAACATCAAAAATAAAATTTTTTTCAAAATAAATGGTATAAAGAAAAAAATATTTTTTGCATTAGTAAGTGCAAGACCTACGAATCCAGCACTATGGTTCAACTGCTAGTCCTCAACTTTGCAAGGATCCCAAATGGGCACCAGTTCCTGTCCCTGCTGCTCCACTTCCCATCTAGCTTCCTGCTTCTAGCCTAGGAAAGCAGTAAATACAATGTATTTTAGAAATCTCTACTGGGGAAAATGAGCCTTCCTTGAAGAAAGGCACTGCAGAATGCAACAGTAGTTTTATTATTGCTACTTTTCAATCCCTTCAACATTAAGGGAAACTGACAAAAGACACTACCTAGAAGAAATGTACTCACTGAACATCTAAGAACAACCCAATTGTAATCAAATCCCAGGAGTCCAACTGAGGCCCAGTCCATACCTGGGAAGTCCCTTCTCTTAACTGTGGCTTTAGTCTATCTCAGCTTAAGCCTATTCCTGTGATCCAGAGCAGTCTAAACATTCCATGGTTTGAATATATATGTACACTCACCACACCTCAACATACTCAGTTCTATTTGAAAGAGACAGAAAGCAAGAGAATTTGCTTCCTTGACATGCAAATCATGTATGACTAAAGGAATAAATGTTTAAGTAATATTAGTACTTATTATAGAAAAAAGTTACACAACATGTAAAAATGTTTTCCCTGCCTAGTTCCTTGAACACAGTGATCAAGAGCCAACTGATTAGAGATATATATACTTAAAATTGTGTATGTAAAATTTACATGTTTATACGTTTATATGTGTATATATTAAAATTGTATTTATCTGAAAGGTGGATTTACAAAGACAGAAACAGAAAGAGCTTTTCTATCTGCTAATTCACTCCCCAAAAATGGTCACAATGCCTAGACTCAGGGCAGTGAGAAGCCAGGAGCTTCTTTCCAGGTCTCCCGCATGGGTGCAGGGATCCAAGGACTTGGGTGTCAGGTCAGAAGTGCAACAGCCAGGAGTTGAACCAGTGCCCATAAAAGATGCCAGCACCACAGTGGTCTTGCCAGCTATGCCACAGAGATATCCTCCAGGTAAAAGCCTTAATGCAGAGAAACTAGAGGTCAAGTTTACACAACAAACACAACACTCTTCAAAAGAAAAAAAAAGGCAATTGTTTAACAGCAGATATTCTCAGGTAATTTAATGTACAATTTTTGAATGATAATGAATAACCTTTCCTTAATTGAGTCACAAAAACAAACTATCTCAGAAAATAACACCACATTATAAAAATACAACATTAACCACCTACTGGTCCTCACTTAAAAGAAACCACCGGAGGCAGCAATGAGATGCAGAAGGCTAAGCGGCAACATGTAGTGTCAGCATCCTATTTGGGTGCTGGTTCGCCTCCCAGCTGCTCCATTTCCAATCCAGCTATCTGCTAATGTGCCCGAGAAAGCAGCAGAGAATGCCCGAGTGCTTATATCCCTGCCACCTGTGTGGGAGACCTGAAACTCATGCTCCTGACTGACCTGGCCCAGCCGAGGCTACTGCAGCCCTTGAAGGAATGAATCAGCAGATGGAAGACCCCTCCTCTTTTTTCACCATCTCTTTCTGTAACTCTACCTTTCAAATAAATAAGTCTTTAAGAGAAAAAAAGAAACCACCTAATTTATAATAATGATATTTCACACTGTTTCATATCCAGAATTCCTCTCTTGTGAATGAGCTGACCTATTAAGGATCACTACCAAAGGTAACAAGAGGGCCCAACACTATGGCGCAGAGGGGTTAAGCCACTACCTTCCATCTCAACATCCTATGTGGGCAGTGATTCAATTCCTGGCTTCCTAACTTTTCATTTTTCATTTCTTTCCTAATTTTTATGTTTACCTTAACGTTATTTTCTACTGTCAACTCCCATCTTTCAAGGTGGGACAATTAAGTATTAAAATGGTGCTTATAAAAACAAATGAAACAATGAAGCTGCTAAAACCAAAAAGAAATCAATGCCAAACTAATCAACTTATTGCTCTAATAGGTCATTTCCCTTCATATGTCTCTTCCACATTAAACATGCATAATGGTTAGAAAGTATTCTAGAGGGCCCCGCACAACAACCTAGTGGCTAAAGTCCTCGCCTTGCATACTCCAGAATCCCATCTGAGCATCGGTTCATATCCTGACTATTTCATTTCCCATTCAGCTCCATGCTTGTGGCCTAGGAAAGCAGTAGAGGATGGCCCAGACTCGGGGCCCTGTACCCGTGTAGGAGACCCGGAAGAAACTCCTAGCTCCTGGCTTTGGATCAGCTTAGCTTCAGCTGTTATGGCCATTTGGGGAATGAACCAGCAGATGGGAAGATTTCTGTCTCTCCTTCTCTCTGTAAGTCTGACATTCCAATAAAATAAATATTCTAAAAATACTCTAGAATGCATCCTACATTAAGAAAGTACTTGATCTATGTGGCTAATATATGTTCTAATTTTGTATATAGCAATACTTTAGAATATTAAATGATTACTAATTACAAACTACCAAATGCAACATGTAAGTGCAATAACAGTGCTAAACAGATCACACAAACTAGAAAATAGCCATTTTTTACGTCAAAAGCATTTTACTCATTAACTTCGGTTAAAACATAATAAGGTATATTAACCATTAACTTCTAAAATTAGGTTAATGAGTAATAAAGAACAGGTTGACTACGTTTAAAAGATGTGGTAAATTTCCAAACACCTAAGAATTATTACCACTCAACTTTCGAAAGCTCTTGAACATTTACAATTTTCTCATCTTGATATATAAGTATGAATACAAACACATATACATAGAAAGAACGCAGCAGTCTCATGGCTAATCACCTCAATTGCTTCAGAACACTGCCGGTGGTTCATGATATGAGTTTGAGAAAGTAAAATCATTTCCTGGGGAAATTTTAACTTTCCCCTTTTAAAGTGAACAAAATATTCCATTAATACCCTGTGGGGCCTGAAGTCGGTGCGGAAGGTTGAGCTATGACCTGAACCCAGCGTCCCAGATCAAGTGCCAAGTAGATAGAGTCTTGGCTGCTTTGTTTCCAGCCCAGCTTCCTGCCAGTGCACCAAGGAAGGAGCTAATGATAGCTCAACTGCTTGGGGCTCTGCCACCCACATGGAGTCCCAGAAGATGTCGCAGGCTCCTGGCTTCAACCTAGCCCAGCCCCAGCTGCTGTAGCCATTTAGGGAGTAAATGAGCAGATGGAAGATCTTTAGGTCTCTTCCTCTAATGCTAATTTCCAAATAAAGAAAATAAATCTTAAAACACTAATAAATACACTCTAGCATTTGAGGAGGTTTATAGACTAATTGAAGAGGAACTAAGATGACAATGATTAAAAGAGGGACAGACATTTGCAATAGCAGCTAAAATGCTGCTTGGGGTGCCTGCATTGAATCTCTGAGCTCCTGGGCTTCAGTCCCCACTTCATTCCCAATTCCAGCTTCCTACCACAGCACCCTGCGAGGCACTACATGACTGCTCAAGTAGCTGGGTGCCGGACACCCACAGGGGAGACCTGGCTTGGTTTCTACTTCCAGAAGCAACCGCAGGCACTTAGGAATTATGTCAACAGACTAAGCTATTCTCTCCCTCAAATAAATACAGATACTACAACTTATCACACACCGATTTTTAAAAAGAGAAAAGTTAGCGAAATTTTAAAAAATGAAAGAAAATTAATTTTGTACTTCTCACAATATTTTACAATTGTTTTGTCAAGAATTTATGTCAAAAGGTTAAATTTAAAAAGCAATATGTTGATAGAGGTACTTGAGCATATTTGAATAATAAGATAAATTGTTTAATCTATTTGAAGGAGCCCTTTTTTCTCCATATTTTAACTTCTGAAACTGCCGCCTTTCACCTACCTAGGGACACAATGAATCAGGTAACTTTATAAGGTCTTCTCTCCGCGGGTTTCTGAACACTGTTAGGAAGCAGTAAGAACTCCAACTGTGAACCTTCATTCTCAGTGAGACGTTTTTACTGCCTTCCCTCGGTGCCAACCCTGAGACATGAGAGCTGCTCTGTTCCCTTCTGTCGCTGTGTTCACTTACCACTTACTTCGACATGAACAGTACAACCTTTCAGTTCTACTTTCATAACAGAGTATCTTCAAGTATTTTAGTTTTTCCCTCAGTGGCAACTTAAAAAATGGTGCATCAGAAAATTCACAGCATTTTAAAAGTCATCAAATTTAGTGAATCAAATGAAATCGTTTCTCCCAATAATAAAATTAACAGTCATATTATACAAAGAAAACAGAAATGAAGTTGTAAATACCTGTCATTTGGATACACTCTCAAAAGTCTTCTATCAAAATCACTCTCAAATCTAAACCTCTCATCCATTTCTTCACTTACTTCCGGATCTTGGTGTGGTCTATAATAGTGTCTATCAATTACGTAATTGTCATTAAACCTGCGAAGTCTTCTGTCTGGAACTTCAGACTTCTTAGACAAACTTGGGTACTCTGTATTAGAGATGCCCACTTCTTCACTTGTTTTTTTTATATTTCTTCTATTCCTTAATTCAATCTCATCATCTAGTTGCCGATATCTGTCCTCTTCCAGCCGTCTTTGGTTTAGAAGTTGTTCATATGCCTCTGAAGGAACTAAAGTATCTGTTGCAGGACCCTCTGAATTTTCATATGATGTGTGTAGTTGTGAAGGTGTATCAGGTTTAACTTGACTAAAAGCTTTTTTAACCCCTTCACTGTTGGGCTATTCAAGGAGAAAAAAGAAAACCTTAGTAAGACACCATCTCTTAAAAGGAAGTTAAATCCTCAAATTGTGCTTAGTTTATCACTTTGTTTACAATTACTTGCAGCAACTTTCTTTAGAAGGAAAACAAAGCAAATTTTATCTTGCAAAAAACGTACTAACTATATACACAGATAGCAATAACACCTGGTTATAAAAGAATAAGCTAAACTCAAATTCCTACCCAAGAGGTTCTAGGTACATTTTTACCTATTCCTTCAAAATATTACAAATTCTCAATTCTCAGCAAAAAGAATTGAGAGGTGGTAAATATTTTGGCCCCAGAAATACCATCTATCTTTAAGTCTCAGAAAGAAACTATATAACTAGAAATAGTCAACATTTTTTAAAACCGTTAAAAAATAAACACTTAACAAAACAATTATCCAACATCCTATCATCCCAGTAAGGATACATTTTTATTGGTTTGCTGGTTTGAAATGCAGAGTTACAGAGAGAAGGTCAGACAGAAAAATCTTCCTACCAGTGGGTTCACTCCCCAAGATGACAGCAACAGCCAGAGTTGAGCCAACCTGCCAGGAGCCAGGAGCTTCTTTCAGTTCTCCCGCTTGGGTGGGCAGGGGCCCAAGGACCTGAGCCATCCTCCACCACCCTCCCCCAACACAAGAAGGAAGTTGGAACAGAAGCAGAGCAGCTGGGACTACAATTGTGCCCTTATGGAATGCTAGTCTAATAAGCAGTGAATAAGACCACTATGGCACAGCCCCAGTCCCAAGGATACATTTTTTAAAAGCAGGGTAAGTTCTTTAATTAAGCAATTTTCAAAAATAAAGTATTAAAATTCTTGTGTTTAGCTAATTAAGGTTTAATTTTTTGGCTGTTGTGGTGGCTCAACAGGCTAATCCTCCACCTGCAAGCACCAACATCCCATTTGGGCAATGGTTCATGTCCTGGTTGCTCCACCTCTAATGGGAAAGCAGAAGAGCACGGCCCAAGTCCTTGTGTCCCTGCACACACATGGGAGGCAGGGAAGAAGGTCCTGGCTTCAAACAGGATCACCTCGGTCATTGCAACCGGTGGATGGGAGACCTTTCTCTCTGTCCCTCCTTCTCTATGTAAATCTGCCTCTCAAATAACAAAAAAATCTTTTTAAAAAAAGTTAATTTTTCAAATATTTACATAATAAAGTAATACATCTAAAACACAAAAATGTTCATGTAAGTGAAAAAAAAAAATTATCCTACGTATTTACTTGCCTCAGTACTCTTTTCAATGTGCCTGGATTTTTCACTGGATTCTTCCTTAACCCTGAGAAACTGATTGTATTCTCTGTTGCGCTCAAGTTTCAATCTTTCCTTCAAATGGAAATCGAAAGGCAATGTCAAAATCAACTACAGAAAAAGTACCTTAATCTCAAATCGAAATCACACAAGTCAGAGATTTTTACCCAGAATCAAGCCATTCTAACAAAGAAGTCGTTGCCAGGAATGGGAGAAGCAGGAAAGCTTTGACAACGCCAATGTATCTCCCCGGGTCTTTTTGCCGCGAGAGAGCATACAAATCTACGTGCACTGGTCCACTGCTACATCGAGTTTCTAACAGGAGTGAGCTGCTTGGGTAGGAAACATTTCCATTTCATACCACAGTAGCTGCAGAACTTAGCATTTTCCAAAGAGCCATACCCAATAAATCTATCCAGGTCTGTTTGCCAACAGCAATCCTGAACAAACCAAGTGCATTCTGGCAAAAGCATTCAAAGCTCAATCTTGCCAATTCATAAATATTGCAGGTTTGCCAGATGTTATTAACGTTTCCCAAGAGAAGTGACTGGACTGTGCTTCTTCCGGCTTTCAGGAACATCCCTCATCTCTAATGAATCCCCCAAACACTTGCTGCTTAGCATTTCCCTTCTGAGGTGAAAGAAGAGTCTTCACTATTCTTTTTAAGCAAACAGCAAAAATTATCCATAAATACTGCATATGTAAAAATATGATTAACAAAATACTGCAACAAAAATGTTCTGTTGAAACACACACATTAGGAAATATTCTTAAATTCATTAAATACCTTCAATGTCATTGAAGCAATACATCTACAAAAGTATGTCTTTTGAAACACACAAACTGTCCATTTTATCTTTATAAGAAGTGGATAGCACTTTACTGCTACTCCTCTAATGAGTAAGGAAATTAGAACCGACAAAAGCATTCAGTCACACCCTCATTCTACATAAGACCTCAGATCCACTCAGTTCACTGGTAACTTCATGACAGAACATAAACTTTATAGCTCAGAAACCAGTGCTAAAAAATGCAATTGTGACTATTCAGTGATGTGCAACCAAACACAGCAAAAGAATCAAAACATTAAAGAAATGGATATTATGTGGCTACAAAGTAATGGTTGGAATTTTCTTAAGCAACAGACTTCACAGATTTTTTTTTAAGAAATAGTTACAGGTGAAACAATGTAATCCTGTTTGTTCTTAAATCAAGAATATGTTCTTTCATGATTCTGATGCCTCAGAAAAACATTACCCGAAACAAGTACTCCTGCCCACCTACCTTGGCAGACAGCCTCTCACCAATAGGAAGAGAAACTCCCAGAGTAGCTGGATCTGGTTCACCCGTGGATAAAAAATTTTTCTGCATGTATACACATTTTAAAAAATAGATTATCTAATTGCCCTTAAAATTTTTCATAAATGTATTTTTACAATCTATAGCCTGAATTTCCACTTTATGAAGAGTAGAGATAATGAAGACAAAACTTCAAAAAGACAGGGACCTTAGCAAAAACCATCAAACAAAGAATTTTCTTCTGATTAACGACTTCGTAAAAGGGAGAATCAAGTCTTAATATTCATTTGTAATTCATAATCAACAATATTTCCAAAACCTCATGGAAAGTGTAATTAAAAGAGGTTTCAAAAATTTGAAATTCACACAAAATTTTTTTATAAATATTAACTTTTTGAAGACCTTTTCATAAGACGAGTAAAGGCATAGTAGAAAAGAAACATCCCCAATTTATATTCCTCTCGGCACGTATTCTTTATTCTCAGTGCTGTCCTGCTCTTTTTGTTCATCAAATAAATTTAAACTTCCTCCCTGGAGCCAGTACCATGCCACGATGGGTAAAGCTGCTGCCTGAGAACCCAACATCCCAGACTGGTGCAGGTTCGTGTCCTGGTTGTTCCACTTCTCATCCAGGTCCCATTAATGGCTTGGGAAAGTAATGAGTGATGGCCCAGGACTTTGGGCACAAGCTCTACAACTGCCCCCAAGACTTAAACAATTGTGTAACATGCAGCAATAATTTAGCACTGCTGGGATTAGAACTGTCACCCATATGGGATCCTAGCACATGCCAGGCGAGTACTTTACCACTATGCTGCTGCGCTGGGCCCAAAAGGCTGTATTTTAATTATTCTTTGGTAAAATTGGAGAATCTAGTATATATCCAAACTCTGACAGATGTGGGACTCATCAGTGAAGAATACAGATCAAGTCCCTGCCCTTCTAAAGCTTATTAAAGCAGTAGAAACTGCTAGGAAAACAGGAGTTTCCTGTGGCTATTTTATATAATATTTTTAACATGTAAGATACCAGTTAGATTCATAAATAAGAATACATTATAAGAAGCCAACATAAAACTTTAAAGTTCGGTACAGAGGTCAGGCCTAGAGATAATCATTTACTAATTCAACTGGAAAAATACTTTTGGAAACATATGCTTTTGACAATATTTCACTGATGGGAAACCTTTATTCCTTTTTATCATAATTGTTGAATATTTACTTATTTGAAAGGCAGAGTTAAAGAGAGAAAGATCTTCCTTCCACTGGTTTACTCCCTAAATGGTCACAACAGCCAGTGCCAAGCTTGGTCACAGCCAGGAGCCGGAAGCCTCCTCTGGGTCTCCCATATGGGTGCAGGTGCCCAGAGACCTAGGCCATCTTATGCTTTTCCAGGTAAACTACCAAGGAACTGGCTTCAAAGTGGAGCAGACTGCAGCTTAACCTGCAATACCAGAGCATCAGCCCCTTTCTTTATTCTTAAAAACTATAAGGAATAGTTTGTCTCAAGAGTCTTCTTTAAAAAAAAAATTAAGAGATGTGAGTATCCTGGTAATCCAACAGTCTAAAAGCCACAAAAATCCAGGAGTGAATTTTAGAAACAATACATAATGCAGGGACCCAGGAAGCTGCACACCACTCCCCACATTCCATATCATTTGCTTTTCTCTTTGCTTTTCTCTTGATAATCCATCACAAGTCAGTTCTTTCATATGCCTTTAAATATTTATGCTCCTTGATCCAATGACTTTTCACAGAAACAATTTCTTTTTGTGATCATCCACCATTACACCTTTAAAATGGCAAATATCTGTTATCAGAGGAAAATTCTGTATCAGAGGAAAACGCCAAACACAATGAGGAACAAGGCCAGAAATTCAGAACAGAACACAAGACAGTTGTACTCAAGGCTTCATCACTGCCTATCATACACAAATTAAGAATCCACTGCTACCTAATCTGGTATCATTCTACATAATTACATCTCACTAATCTCAGAAAGAATCGTATTCTGGTCCAGTTCTGGGAGTGAAGCTAAATGTCTCATGCAAAGAGCTTATCCCCACCTTTTCATTCTGATCTTCCTCTAAGTTACCCAGATTTTACTTACTGCAGAGAATCCCTTACAAAATAACAGCTCCAACTAGGAGGTGTTGCCTCATCATTACATCCTTCTTGCTGCATTTGCCTCTTTCTGAACTATATAAAATAATATTCAAAGCTCTCTGAAAACAGAATTTATGCCAAATCCATCTCCATCTTAAGTCTTTAAAAACCACCAATTTAACACTTAAGAAATATGCAACATTTATTTAAAAAACAATTTTGTAGAAGTGCAAAAAAATTTATTTGCCAATAAGTTAACAAATATAATCCACAACTTTTGGTACAAAAATATCAAAAATCCAAATTCTGACAAAATGCATTTCACACAAATTCAAATATTTTGAATGTCATATTACTGCATTAATTTCATTATGATTAGCAAAATTTAAAACAAAAACTAGCATGCTGAAAGCAAGGATGCAGAATATTCATAGAGCATACAAAAGCAACATAAACAAGTACAAAGCAAAAATCAAAATCAATGATTGCATGTGTCAACTGTCATCCTATTAAAATCAATACAAAATGGTACAATTCAAAAGTTTCAATCACAAATGAAGAGATTTTTTTCTAATTGGTTTGAATCTCATAAATGCAAATGATTGCAAGCAGTTAGACTTTCATTAAAAATAAAAATAAAGTAGAACAGTTTCCAGGCAACCCTACCTTTCTTTTTGCTTGTGTAATACCCTAAAGTCAAGGAAAGAAACCATTGATAAAATGTATTCAGTCAAAGTCCATTTTCACATATGCAAACACTATTACAAAGCAGGAAAAAACTAAAGAGTATCTCAGGATGACTTAGGAACACAACATCTGTTTAAAATACCTTTATAAAGCAAAAGCAAATGATTTTAAAAGTTAGTTCAACCTTTACTTATAATTTGACAGAAGTGCTCTGCTAAACAAAACATAAATTACAAAGCAAAGACTTAGGTGGTCAAATAAATTCATTAACTGAATTTGATAAGCTTAGCTCAGAGGAAAATAACTGGCAACTAGAACTCTATATGCCTTTGTAATTCATGGCTGAAGAGAGTGGAGGAATAGGAAATCATAACTGGCTTACTTTAAACCACAATAAGTTCACAGAAACATGAATCAACAGAAATTATTATGCCACTTATAATGAAAACCCAAGCCCCAAGGTCAGGAGCCCGTGTTACTCAATGGCACTAACGCTGAGCACATGATGCTGTTATCAACATCATACATGCCACTTCACTTTACCACTCAAAATTAACACATGAATAACACTTCTCAAAAAAACCAAAATAACAAATTCTGCAGCTTAACATCCAACTCATTCATTGACCTTACCTGAGTAAGATAGCGCCTGTAATCCTGTCGCAACTCTTCCTTTAGTTTATGTTTCTTCCGTTCATACTCTTCCCCAAGCGGTAAGCTTAATCCATAATCAATTCCTAGAAAGAACACAGCTTAAGTCACAGTTCAAATAAGTCCTAACTCCAGAAACAAAACACAGTAAGAGAAAAACACAATTATACTGATTCTGAGAGTCAGATTTTAAGTTTCTTACAATGTTTCAGTGAGTGACATGCACACAATGGGAAAGGGATCCTTCCCACCTCTCCCTTCCCCTGCCCAGACTAATACTGCTGCTTCTCCTCTTTATCTTTGTGGAACTCCTACTATGCATCTGTACAGAAGTATCTTTATATCATTACCACACATATGTTTATATGAGTATTTTTGGAGGAATTTTATGTTTATGAAAGGTACTTTGTTTTAAATAGTTCTTTTATTTGAAGCAGTGATACAAAGATCTTCCATTTGCTGAATCCTTTCCCAAAGGGCTGCGATGTTTAGGGTTAGGAACCCCTCAGAGCTGTCCATTAACCTTGAACTCCATCTGGGTCTCTGACAATGGTGGCAGAGCACTCAAACTATCTTTCTGGAACCTACCCAGGATGCAATCCCAGCAAGCCGGAATGCAAGCAGAAAAGCTGTGGTTCACACCTGTACTTCACACAGGCTGCAGGAGGCCCAGCAGCGCCTTCCCACTGAGTAACACGCCCCTGCACGCACATTACATCGGTTGTTTCCTGTTTACATGGGCCTTCGTCAGACAGCATCTTGCTTTTTTAAGGACAGCAAAATTAAAGCAAACAAAAAGTCACCACTGCTCCTTCACTTAACTTTCCTTTAGCTTCTATAAAAATACATTAAATATTTTAATCTTTTATCTTAGAAAATTTAATAATGATATAAAATATCTTCCCTATAAAACATGTTTCTGAGAAAAAAATATTAGGGTTGTGTGTTTAAGATGAAATTTCCAAAACATTTAAGAAATAAGCCACCAATTCTGCTTCCATATAATTTATATCAAAAACATACATAAAATTTAGCATTTCAATAATTTTGAGTGCACAACTAAGAAGCTTTACATATACATTAACAATGTTGTGTAACCATCACCACTACCCATCTCCAGAATTGTGTCATCATTCCAAAGAGAAACTCTACAAAGGCATATTAATTTTTAGAGAGAAACTTCAATTTTGAATAGTGTTTCTTACACAAGGACAACAGTAATGACCCTAAAATTTGAAATAAACAAAAATATCACCTGACTTCACACTTCAAATGGGTTAAGCCACCATTTCTAATACCAGCATCCCATATTACAGCACCAGTTCAAGCTTTGCTCAAATTCTGACTCAGATCCCTGGGTCCCTACTACACTTGTGGGAGACCAGAATGGAAGTCCTGGCTCCTGGCTTCATCATGGCCCAGTCCCAGGCACTGTGGTCATTTGGAGAGTAAATTAGCAGCTGGAAGATCTTTCAGTCTTTACCACTTTCACTCTTTCAGATAAAAAAAAAATATTTAAAAAAAATGAGTAAACTTTATGGTATGTAAACTGTATCTCAATAAAGTTTAACACTTTTCACATATTTAACAATAAAAGAGAATGACAAAAAGATATATGGGGCATTTTGTGGCATAGTAGTTAAAACCACCACCTGTGATGCCAGCATCCCATATGGGTGCTAGTTATGTGTCAGGGCTTGTTTCAATCCAACTCCCTGTTAATGAGCTGCAGCACCCGAGGACCGGCCCAAATGTCTGGGCCTGTTACCCACATAGGAGACCCGAACAAAGCTCTGAACTCCTGACTTGCCGGGTCATCCCTGATCTTCACAGCCAGCTGGGGAGTTAACAACAGACGGACGATCTCCCTCCCTCTCTTTTCCCACCCCCTCCCTCCAACTCTGACTTTCAAATGGAACTCCATTTTTTAATCCTAATATTTATTTTAGTCCTAATATACATAAATACATAGTATGTAACACATATTATATATAATGTAGAAGAGAATAGCTTTAAAAAATTATTTCTGAACACAATGAAATTTTACCTTAGATTCAGCTACAAACTGAAATAATTGACTGCCATTTGTAAATTACTAGGAAAATCACCAATTCTGTGTTTTCTTACACAGCTAAATGATGTGAACTTACAGTCGTGTCAGTGCTTTATTACATCACTGAACTAATTTAGAGCAGAAAAGGGCAAAGCAGAAGAACATAAAGAGATATTTACTGTTTTTTTTTTTAATTACAGAACATGAAATTGAACCTTCCACTATGAATGAGCATTGTGGGATTCCTTGATAAACACTTCCAGACTGTTTAATTCCCTGAGGATAAAAAGGTATAATACAGGATTCCACAGGAACATCTCTTCACACAAGCCACCAACTCCCTTCAAAAGACCCGAAGTACTGCAAAAACCTACAATTTTATGTCTCCCAGAAAGGAACTTTTTCATCACAAAGAAATCTAAATCTTAGGTAACACACAGTATTTAAGCCTAAAAATAAAACAGTTTTGATTCTCACATTCAGAATGGAGCCTAACATTATGAAACTCAACTATAAAATCAATGAAGGAAAGCCTCATGCTTTACTCAATTTTATAACATAATTTGTACCCAAGAAACATTTATGGGAGAATGCTACAAAAAAACACAAAGCCCAGAGGAAATGGAAGGAGTAAGAAAAAGGAAATAGAGGATATATTTTTAGCAGGCTGATTATATAAAGGAGGTAACTTGTAACAGTTACATATTTGGTTACATGTGGTCACAATGGAGGTTCTATTGTGTCAAACAGGGATAATGCTGCGAGGATGACACATCCCAAGAGGCTGCGCTTTCCCAGGCAGAGAAAAAGCACTGCACAGCTTCCTGAAAACCTATATATTTATGGGGCATTCCTAGGTGTGTTTCAATTCTACTCGGTGAGTTTATGCATAAAAATGTGAAGAAAGGCACAATTTACTTTCATTTATAAGTGTTCAGATTAGTTTAATTTTATTTAGCAATAGTTATTTGCTTTTCACTATTGATTCAATGCTTATAATTTTCCTAGATTAATAATATTGACTTTCTAAATAAGGCTTACTCAACAACTAATTTTTCACCTTATACCAATATTTAATGACATTAAAGATTAAGCCACAGAAATAAAACTAAGAACCATACAGAGCAATTTTAGAAATCTATTCATTTTTGAGCCTGGCATGATAACCTAGTGGCTAAATCCTCACCTTCATCTGCTGGGATCTCATATGGGTGTTAGTTTCTATCCTGGGTGCTCCACTTCCCATCAAGCTCCCTACCTGTGGCCTGGGAAGGCAGTAGAGAATGACACAAAGCCTTGGGACCCTGTACCTGCACAGGAGACCCAGAAGAAGCTCCTGGCTTCAGATCAGCTCAGCTCCAGCCACCACAGCCACTTGGGGAGTAAACCAGCAGTTGCAGTATCTGTACCTCCTTCTCTCTAAATCTTTTCAATAAAAATAAATCTTTTTTTAAAAAAATCTATTCATTTTTAATGATACACTAGAAATGGCACTTGGATTAACAAACACCTAAGAAACATGGTGGGACTGACTTACTCAGTTGATGTCTTCTGATGGTTCTAGTAGGAAGTAAAACTCTAGTCATTTAAGGTCATTTGAAGTGATGTCACTTCATCAAGCACATCAGTGACCCTAAGATAATTAACAGTATGCTTCCATAACAACTGGAAGTATTTGGTTTTTATGGCAGCTGGGGTCAAATGAAATAACACCAAAAGCATACAGTCTCTAAAATCAATTCACTTCTACCAAAGCACTTATAAACAATATAAAATAATTACCATGAGATTTACTTTTCTTTTCATTATCATAAAGCAGTGTATAAAAATAATAAAGACAGCAGTTATAATAAAAACACCTCATGTAAACCAACAATTTATACATTTGTGATTAATTTAGAAGCTTTGTGTTCTTATCAACCTTAGGGGCCAGGGTTGTGGCACAGTGGGTAAAGCCACAGCCTGAGATGCCATCATCGTCAATGGGTCCCTGCTAGTGGTCATGAGAAAATCAGAGGCACACGGCCCAAGTGCCTGGGCCCCTGCCACCGAGGTGGGAGACCCAGATGAAGCTCCTGGGCCCTGGTTTTGGCCTAACCCAGGAACAGCTACTGCATGTACCTGCGGGGGGGGTCCAGCAGATAGAAGTTCACTCCACATGTTCATGTGCTCTCTGCTAACTCTTTAAATTATGGTTTTAAACTTCGCTATAAAGGCAATACTAAAACGGCCAATTTCTCCTACATAAAAAAAAAAGTGACTACATGGGATCTTGCTTGTTTGAAATAAGATAAATCAAAAACTTAATATGTTTAAAGGAATAATTAAGTTTAACTAAAAATTACGGAATACACCAATGATAGTTTCTAAGACCTTTACGTTAACTGCAAATTTTACCTTAAATCTACAATTTTTACCAAAAACCTAGAGCTCTGGTTTGGTGTTGTTCCTTTCTCACCATTTTTTTTTTACTTAACACTATAATTTTATTTTCTGATAATTCCTTTCCAAATTTGCATTTGAGGATAATTATACGTAAGACAAACTTTAAAAAACATCATACCATATCATGTCAGGTAATAAAAGGGGCCAGCACTATGATGCAGCAAGGTAAGCCACAGCTTAGGACCCCAGCATTCCACAGAGTTCAAGTCCTAGCTGCTCCATATTGAATCCTGCTCCCTGCTAATACACCTGGGAAAGCAGATGATGTCACAACATCGTAGGCCCCTGTTACCCACTGAGAGACACAGACTGAGTTCCAGGATCCTAGCTCCTGCCTGCTCAGGCCCAGCAGTTGCACCCAGCAGACAGAAATTCTCTCATCTCTCTCCATCTTTCTTTTACTGGCTCTTTTCAAATAAAGTAAGTCTTCATTTCTAAGAATAAAATCTCTATCTTACTTTGGTATTTGTAAATTTTTTGTTGGTAGATTTCCAAAATTATGACTTCAGAGCACTGGAAGGATCGATGAGGCGCCTCGGACACAAAAAGTTCCCTGTACCCCGAGAAGCATCATCCTGGGGGTGTAAA